AGCGATTGAATGCACAAAGCTAGCCAGATGCGAGTACAATTTGTTCTGACGGGGAAGATGAACGTACATGTGAAGCATTCCATTGTCATCAGTGCTTGTTCAAGGTCTTCTTACGGCTTTTCTGGACTGAGTGACTCTGAGTGAACGCCAGCCTTCTGCAGTCTTCCATCCAAAATAAAATGAGGACAGCCATCTTATGGCAACCTCGACCACCATCGACGGCCGAATGACCCTGAAGATGACTTCAACACCGTCGAAAAAATGAAAATCCTCAGCAACTAGTCGATCTACTAGAAGCCTCACGCAAGCTTTACTGGGAACTGCAACCGAGTGATCCTGAGCTCATTTGGATGCGACATCCTGGCCCGCGGGTTTCAGCAATCCCAATGGGGAACCTATTTTGGTTCCCCATTGGGACCGCTGAAACCCGCGGTCCAGGATGTCGCATCCAAATGAGGTTCGGGTGTAGCGTATCTCTCACTGGTTTAGAACTTCTGAAGGCCTTTTTCTGCACGTTATCACACCATAGATGGGGAACAGTGCGAAAGGTACTTTCCTCACTGCTGATTTCAGTGCGCCGTAATGTATTGGCAGCGTCCAAGGTGAGTACCGCTATCAGTGACGCTGAGTGCGGTCTATCACAACCTTGTAAGGTACCTTGTCGATGATTTTCGGTGAAATCAGGGATACGGCTGGCTGAATGTCTGTGAGTGCTCCCTTATCATGAAGAATCGATTCACCATGTCTTGCAGTTTTTGCTCTGCCAGTGGCGGATTCCTCTTCCGTTCGCTGTCTTGAACCAATAAATCTCTTAAAATAACTCTTTAGAGGAGTTCTACCGGTCATCGTGCAGTCACACTCTCATTCCTATCCTCAGCATGTCGAAGTTGCCTGGGAGTGGCTCTCTGGTAAGACAGCCATCTGGCGACTGCCCCTCTGACAGGGAATCGACCAACAGCAGAGCAAAAACCGCTATAGGGGGTAGGATCGATTCCATGTGATAACGGAGCAGCCTTGGACCGGTGCCAGGATATCCGTCCGTGATTTCATCGAAAATCAATCCAGCGTAATCCTGCAAAGGGAGCGATATTGCGAGTGGACACCATACAACGGTGGTCGATCACGGGTACCTAACTTTGGAGGGCGTCACTTCATTCGGCACTAGGCATCACCAAGCCTAAATGGTTCTGTTCGCACTGCTCCTCCATTCGGAATATTTATTATGGGCGATAACGTGCACAAAAAGGCCTTCAGAAGTTCTAAACCAGTGAGAGATACGCTACACTCCGAATCTCATTTGGATGCGACATCCTGGACCGCGGGTTTCAGCGGTCCCAATGGGGAACCAAAATAGGTTCCCCATTGGGATTGCTGAAACCCGCGGGCCAGGATGTCGCATCCAAATGAGCTCAGGATCACTCGGTTGCAGTTCCCAGTAAAGCTTGCGTGAGGCTTTCTAGTAAATCGACTAGTTGCTGAGCATTTTCATTTTTTTGACGGTGTTGAAGTCATCTTCAGAGTCATCGGCGCGGACAGTCGATGGTGGTCGAAGTTTCCATAGGTGGTGTCACTCATTTTATTTTTGATGAAAGTACCGCAGAAGCTTATGGCTTAATTCAGGACATCACTTAAGCTTTTAGGAAAGAAGCGTTTCCATTGTCAATCTCTTGTGCTTGGAACGACAGACAAGAGACTGACAATGGAACGAATTCGCAATGTACGTTCATCTGTCCCGTTTCAACTGCCTCTAACTAGGGAGGTCGTTCAGGACGTGGAGCGCTTTTTGAAAACGGTTTTTTGCATGATGTGGGGTCACGTGCATGGAGTACCAAACTGGTGTTCATTTTTCCTGAACGCCTCTGGGAATGCCAAAAATGGAGTGAAAAAGAAGTCCATGGAAACCGACTGTTTTTGAGCCTGAATGGGCTCTAAATCACTCGCAACTTCGGCCAGTTGCTGCCTATAGGGTCCTTATAAAGGTTGTACTGGTATCTATGAGAAAAGTGGTCGTCAATGGGGTCTTACTTGTGGCACGTAGTTAAGAGTCGACGGCCAATTCGAATGGGCTCTTAAGCAATCGAAGTGGTACTGTGCCAACGACCGGATGGCCTAGTGGATAGCGTGGGAACCACTCTCATACAAGCAGACATCTGGCGGATGGGGATGCATGCCGTTCGGCTCCCCTCGGCTTGCACGTTTTTGCATTTTTTATTTTCCGTTGTTGTCGCTTCCATATATGTCTGTTAATGAATTTTACTCGGATATCTGCCATTTATAGGCACATCCTAAATAGTTATAGCCCGTAGTCGGTGCTATTCAGCAATTTCGATTTCACATACACCACTTACAGCAAGACTTCGTCTGAAAGCCTGAGCTTTATGTTCATTCGATGCCCTGCCACCTCATGACTTGGCACTTTACTCTCTCAGCTCTAGCTGCCATCTTTCTTCCAATTTGGAGCCAAGTCTTTCTCCCACTGGAGTCGCTATGTACATTCGTTTGAGGGAGTTGCAGGGCCATTCTGACGCCAGATTGGATTGACGTCAAGAATAAGTGTCAGAATCGTGATCAGGACCATCGATTACCCCTATAGGCAAACTTTCAGCCAAAAATTTTTTTTGACTTTTTTGAGTCTGTGCATTGGGTTATGCTCAAGAGTCACTTTGTTGAAGTCGTACTTTTGCTGGTTATCGAAACCCTCATTCAGTGGTACGGAAACAAAAAACTAGCAACAACCATAAACGCCATCGAAAAAAAGAACAAAATAGTCATCATTCCTCCAGGTGCATTTGATGAAGAAATCGGATGAGTCTCTCCTCTTGGTAGGGGAGGACGACATCTTCGTTCGTTCGTTGAGCGAGAAGTCGTGGGGGTCGACAAATGTCCAGGATGGTTTTTCACTTGTTCTGCGGCCACCCATGCCCATGCCAAGTATGAATGGACCTTATGAGCACCAAATCCGCGATGCGGCTGCCCGGCGGCCCACCACGTCATCGCTACGTCATCGCAGCTCCAAAGTTGTGGGTCTCCGGTCATCACCGACGACCAAATGGTCGGTCTATCACAACTCAAAAAAGTCAAAAAAATTTTTTTGGCCGAAAGTTTGCCTATAGGGGTAATCGATGGTCCTGATCACGATTCTGACACTTATTCTTGACATCAACCCAATCTGGCGTCAGAATGGCCCTGCAAAGTCCCTCAAACGAATGTACATAGCGACTCCAGTGGGAGAAAGACTTGGCTCCAAATTGGGGACTACGTGCCACAAGTAAAACCCCATTGGCGACTACTTTTCTCATCGATACCAGTACCTTTATAAGGACCCTATAGGCAGCAACTGGCCGAAGTTGCGAGTGATTTAGAGCCCATTCAGGCTCAAAAACAGTCGGTTTCCATGGACTTCTTTTTCACTCCATTTTTGGCATTCCCAGAGGCGTTCAGGAAAAATGAACACCAGTTTGGTACTCCATGCACGTGACCCCACATCATGCAAAAAACCGTTTTCAAAAAGCGCTCCACGTCCTGAACGACCTCCCTAGTTAGAGCCAGTGACTCAGATTGGATCTCGCTGGCTTTGTGCCCATTGCGCAATCGCTGACTCTCGTTGAAGGCGACTTAGGTTCTATTCCGCGCCATGCACAGCATAAGAAGAGGAAGTAATGTCACAATCCTTCCCATACCACACCTTTTACAACTGAGCACTTAGCTTTTGGACGGCATTCCTTCGTATACGAACGCAAAAGTCTAGCCCAGTCCCCTACACTCATGGAGAAACGTACACTCCGTCACGTTGCATCTTCGGTGCTGCCTCAGGCAGCTTACGGGGGCGTCTGCACCAGCGCGCCGCCTTTAATTGCTGGCCCCTGTCGGAACTAGGAAGAAGCCAGGGGCTGCCACCTCGCGGGTAGCGCTTCCTACCAATATAAGTTGGAAGTTCCGCGATCTTATCGGTCCCCGCCGTCAACCGTGGGCAAGCTGCTTCTCCACTTGCCACTTCTTCAGCTGCCGTCCACCTCAGAAACACGTTTCTTCCACCGGGCCCATTCATTGATGAATCGTATCTCAGACTGTTCAGAGCCACAAATCACTAAATGGGAGGATATAGACTGATAAGGAATTTCAGTAACTGGCAAAAGGAATGGACGACAAGGGATTCGATCCTCGCCCTAAATGGCTTCAGAGCAGATCACGTAGTCGCTGAGCCTTATGCAACGCAGGGTCACAGACCCACAAAATAAGACCTCCTTACTCATAATGGCGTCGCAGTTCGTGCAGAAAGCAGGTTGGACTGCGGACAGCTTCTACTTTGAGGAAGGAAACAGTTCAGACAAACACAGCAACGTGTCCGGAATAGAACCGAGGCCGTCGGCAACGAGAACAGCCCTTGATTGCACCGAGACAAACCATATCAGTTGTTGTAAAGGTTCTGACAGCACTGACGAGACAATGGAGGACATTCGTAGGATTCTTTGCGCAGGTTCGAGTAGGCCGTAGAGGACATGAGGAACAGCTTACTCCGATTTGATTGCCATAAAGCATCTATTATGACTATTGGTAATTCACAATCATCGTGACGCCAACAATTCTGAAAGTGCCGGGGGGGGGGGGCCCGGGTGATCAAAGAAAGTCGTGTACTTTCCGCTTACCGCGCACGCGCCGGCCTTTAAGGCAGGGAAGTTGAGCCAATTCATTGTACCCACCTTCTAGTGCGCTCATCGGGTTAGGTCGCGTAAAAGAGTAAGGAGATCCGAGGGGCTTGAAACCGGTTCTTTGCCCGAAGGTAGTCCCTCATTTCGGTGAACCCCGCCTCCACACTAGAATAGCGCTTATGAACATTGCCTGCACACCTGCCTAGCCGTCTTGCAAGCTATAAATATGCCCCATGCAAAGTGAAACAGATTTTGCCTCATAACAACAACAATTTGTTTTTTAAATCTTTACTATGTACATCATTACAATTGCACTCTATGATAAATAAATTAAAAAATATTCTATCATAATCACTGAATCATTCTGGCTGTTTTCATGAGCCGTCGCCAGCATTGGATCATACAAGACGTGTCCTGAAACGGTTCATTTTGGCAATTTCTGAGGATTTAATTCGAAATACGGACGTTTTATCAGCTTACTGCGCGTTGGGGAGAGCGATAGGCCGAGGGACAGAGGCGGGAGGAGGAGCAGGAGCATTTTTTGCTAACTTGACACTCATTTTCCATATTCTAATCTTATTGTACGAGGCCTTCGAGGCTCTTGCTAGAAGCTGTGCGAATAGAAACAACTTCGCTTTGATAACTGCAAACAACCTTCGTAAACCTCTGAAATCGTGCCAGCTTACAGCGCCTGCTATAGTGACTTTGGAGGGGCCCAAGAGCTAGAATCCAATAAAAGCTTTTCGTAATGGAGATAGAGATTTTTCTCTACCCCTTGCAATCAAAAAAGCTGGGGCAGACATCCGAGAACTTGTCTGCTCCGGCTCCTTCACAGAAAATTTGCGCAGCAGTGGGTGTTCACATCACGACTTTCGTTCAAATTGTCCCCTCCAAAACTATCAGTGCCCAGATGTATGGGCTGTCTTAGCACCCTACACGAAATCAAAAAGGTTTCCAATGTGGCTTGTGCAGGCGGATTCACCCAATTACCATTCCGCCAGCTTCACAAGAGTTCACAGGTCTTCACATCAGGCCTTCACAATAGCAAAACGGCCCCCTTGGGCCAAAAAGCGCCGGCATTAGTTTTTCTTATTTTGGATTTCTTTACTTGTGTTTGTGTAGCAGCGCTTTCTCAGCTCAGAAGGAAAACTTGCCTTCATTCCAGCTCACTTTTCTTCCTCTCGCGGCTCTTGCCCGCGACCGGTAACAAGGTAGCTAATCCGAACGGGATTCGTGAAAATCCGAGCGCACCGACCAAGGCGCCTTGTAAGCTGGGGATTCCCGCCGGCGGTAGGGGGGGGCGGTCCGGTATTTTTGATCGCTTGCTTACGAATGAGGGCAGGGGGGGTGGCACGGTTGCACCCGTATTGCCGAGAAAGTATTCTCGGGTCACGACTATCGCTTCCCAGTTTCATTTCGTTTCCAAATGCGCTTAGCCTCCCCCCCACCCAACCTAAAGCATGGCAGCTTTTTTTGGGAAAAAAGAGGAATTTTTGAAAAAGAAAACTTTCGAAGAACTGGTAGAAAGTTGGGAAAGTTTTGGAATTTAGATGGTAGGCGTATCACAAAGAGAATTTCGGGAGAGTTTCGATGGGGATCGTATTTTGCGGAAAATTCCCCACCGGCAGGACGTGCCCCTCCGCCAACGACACCTAGCGGCTTGAACAAGTCGAACTTACCTTTGAGATATCACTAAGCAAGTATTTGTGCGAGAGTTTCACACAACTATCAACCGTGGCCGGATGACATGCCACCTGAAAGAAATCGAAATTAGGCGAATGAAAATGGAAGCGAATATTAAGAGCTGCGAAAGAATCTCGGCAGCGTTCATAGTTCGGGGCGACTCGTGCAACTGAAACTTATCGATCTTGCAGCTTGGAGAATGAGCGGTCGCGCGACTCAGCGATTAGCAGTGGAGCACATCTGACACTATTCCCGACCGCTCGCCATTATTTTCAGTTTCAAGGGTGTGGCTACGAGGGACACGAGAAGACAATGGTAATTCGTCGGGTTGTCGCGCGCGGCGTATCGTGCGATCATGCGCGGCGAATTCTCGATGAGCATCAGCATATCGATTGGAACAGCGAAATTCATATGAACTCAAGCTTAGACAAGACTGCATGACGGGCGATATCGAATTTAACATCCCTTAGACACTAAAATTTGGGAGGGTAGGCAAGAAAACTCTTCTGTCGAACGCGGCGTCGCTCGACAGGCCCAACGCTCGGCGTGTTACAGGTCTTGCCGATTGTCTTGCCACATACACGACTAGGAAAAGATCAGAGCTGCGACGTCATGCGGAATCAAGCTTGGCGCGAGCGGCAATTCCTGACTAGTTGACTTGCTTCACTATGGCAATTTCATGAAAAATCGATAAGGTCCTTGTGCAACGCGCCGCCGCAGCTCGGGTCTCCTGACCGATTTCGGAGTCAGTTCCTCGTGCTCCATCGCTAATCAGAAAAATCGCTTGAGTTGCTGGTGTTGCCGACAATAAACGCTCAACACTAGAAACGGGGAGAGGGGAGGGGTATGCCGTAGAGCGCGACTTCACTGCAACCGACGTGTCTTGACATGACAAGCCGTCATCCAGGTAGGAAAACTCGTCCGAAACTCGTAAAGTAGTGAATTTGCGCAGCTGATCAATAAATGTTATGGCTGAGAAGCAGGTATATCGAAGCCAACATAACGACTTCGAATAGGCCGTCAATTACGGGAATTCTATAAATTGTTACGAGTTATATATGTACTTTAGCAGAAGTACCATTAGCAGTAAAGAGTAAAGATACGTCACTGGCAGTGAGGTCGAGCAAAACGCTCACACCCTCTTAAAAACAGAACGAACCCCATCGTGTGTGCAAGTGCACGTCACACATGGCGTGACATGCAATGATGTACCCATTTGTATCGTTCGGCCATTCATTTCACAGTGCTCTGAAAGAAAAGAAAGTTAATCAGGCTACAAAGTGACTTTCAAAGAGAGTTTGGCACTATTCAACAGCTACAACTCCAAATTTCACAGAAGTTTTGGCGCGAATCGTTCGGCTTGGTGGGGGCAGTTTGCTGGTTCCCACAGAATATTGCCCATGCCTCTTTGGAACTGGTAAACTCCTAAGAAGCTACGGAAAAGCAGGAGCTTTGTCCACACTTGACGGGAGTGCACAGGTGTCACCAAGGTGAAACCTCTAGCTCTACAGGAACTAGCACAAGAAATTAGAGAAAGTAAAAATACCCCTCCCAAGTAGAACAGATCCGATTTAATTTTTTTGGACTGAAGTGTCTCGACGTCAAAAAAATGTGGTGTCGTGATCATAGAACCTGCGGCGCACAGCCCTAGCAAAAAAGGTCTGGAGGTTGCACTCGCTGAATGGAGCCAAGGGTTTCTAAAATACTGAAAAAATTCTTCACTCCGATCTTTCCAGTGACTGAGATCCAACTGTGGAACGTCTTCGCATGGCACTTGAGCATTTCTGAAAACAAAGATTTCAATCTGGAAGAGTAGTAAAGGCTAAGGGGTGTGAATTTGCCTTCAGGATGGAGTAAGCACTCGCGCACAGGCTGACGACAATGGGGCAGTTCGGCGACGGAGGGAGGGGCATTTTGCACTTCCCATCGACGTGTCGATCTAGCCTTTTCCAGAGTTGACAGGTTTCACCAGGGACTTGCTCCAGCTTCACAAGAATTCACAGGTTTCACCAGAGTGAGACTTGTAAACCGGAACTAGTGAAGCAGCGAAAGTGCAAAATGCCCCCCCCCCGGTCGCCGAACTGCGCCGAGGACAACTATCCGCTGAGGGCAGAGCATCACCAGGGGTTGGGGAGGATTTCGTTAAATACGGTTCCCTCACCCAGATTTCCGATTATTCTACCAAACTTTCCTGGAATACTGCAGTCCAGCAGTTGGGAGGACAGACATCAGTTGTCAGAAATAGAAGCTTTGCAACTTTCCCCGTGGGATAGTTCTCCGGTTACGGCCTCATTCACCTCCCGCTTCGCACAGATATACCAGGTAAGCGTACAGTTTGTCTTCAAACGGTAAAACGACTAATGATTGGAGAGAATCGGGTTGTTTCAGTATAACTGGAAAAGAAATCTCATACATTAGATCATCCGGCACGTCGAAGACATTCGGTTGAATGGTTCTCAGATATCGACTGTTGGCGCAGAAGATCGATGAGAGACGAATTTTTCGAATTTCACTCAGCTGCGCTAAAAATGACATGGATTACCAAAATTCTAAACGCGTATATCAATAGATCAGCTTAAAGTGCAGTTCAGAAATTTTAAATTCATCACTGGACCGAATCCTAAGCGCGTCTTTATTACTTTTCAAAAGTTTTCTATGTGCTATTGCGGTTGAGTGTTCGCACAAACTGACCCGGACTAAACTTGGCCACGCCATCGTTTTCATAGAAGAATCGATCACATTTCTTCAATCGGCCAAACTGCTCGGCCAGTATACAGGACATTGTTGGTCCCAACTGAATAATCCTTGTTCAGTGAAAGAGAACTCGGATATATCACAAAATTATTATAGAAATCGTGTTGTCACTACAACGAAAATCAGTGCTTTAGAGGTTCATTCCATGGTAATTACATGGGCGGCGTCACTCCGACCACAAAGCTGTTATTGGTGGACAACTATGACATGGACGACGACGCACCATCGAGGGAAGCGGGTGTCCAAAGGACTGCACCCAGCGATTAGTGTGGAAAGCATCCAACAAAAACAAAACCAATCAACAACTACAGTCGTCATCCAGGAGTTGATAAGGCGGTCAAAGATCGCAGAGGAAAATGGCTAAACAGGCGTGGAACAGCTGATCGCGTCACGACCGCGGCGATCAGCTGATTCGAGCCTATTTAGCCGTTTCCCCCTTATTTTCACTGTATTATTAAGTTTTTTTGTCAAGGTGGATTGTTTTTGTCTTTATGAAGTATATTAGGACGTGGATTTTTTTGTTTTGTAATGAAGTGTTTTTGCGATTTTTTCAGGTATTTGTTTAATTGTTTAATTATTTAATTGTTCGCAAAAATTAGAGAAATCTCAATCATAATTTACCTTGTGAAGACAAGGAACAACTAACCTTAAGAAAAGCAGCCAAAACAGTGAAAATTAGGGAGAAAATGGCTAAATAGGGAAACAGCTGATCGCCGCGGTCGTGACGCGCCGCAGCCGCGTCTGCGACCCTTTGACCGCCTAATCAACTGCCCGGATGACGACTGTAATACCACCAGGAAAATTTTATATGTAACCCTCCTCCCGTTCAAAAATGTGTGGAATTCGGATGGCCGCATGAATAAAAGATACTACCACAACGGTGTTTTATTCCGGACTGAAAAATGTCGAGTCTTACCAGTGCTCCCTTCAGAGGCTTCTCACTGACAAGTCCTGGGAACAAATCAATGTCATCAACAGATTCGTACAATGACGACAAAGCCGATATGGCCTCAGAATCCATCTCGTGCTGGAAAATCGATAACTCAGTCATTAAGAGAGATGCAGAAATACCACGAAGGTAACATGCAGAGAAGGTTACTGGTCAGGAGATCCACCTTGCGCGCCGCGCGGCAAAATAGCGCGGCGAAAGTGAGTCATCACACGCCGCTCGCACAGAAACCAATCTTTTCGCGTCGGCGCGAGGTGGATCTCCTGACCGCTATGCAGTGAAACCATATAACTTCATATGCGAAATAATCAGCATTACCTTGAGATCGTCGAAAGTTCTAGCCTTTTTCAAACCGCAGTACTCTCTCAAGTCGTTATAAGGCTGTACACCATGGTCACGTGCTCGCAGAATATTCAGTACTAAACACATGACCTGGGTTGAAATTAGGACCCATTTGTGGGCACTAGTAATCCTGGAGGGGCATTCAAAGGACCGTTGGTGCAAAACTGAGACTGAACGTCAACGGAATAGAAATTAACGTGCTGAAAGGTTCCTCCTAGAGCCTCCCCCTTCTCTCCGGGCTGAGGGAAAATCCTTGTTTATCATTTCTACAGTACACAGCTTTGCCCAAAGAGTCCTTGCAGTGGCTCCTCCCGAGACTATAAGCGACATATTGTGCGAACTCACCAATAAGGTCCAATCCACTTGTCGGCTCCCCACGTCTCATGAACAAATGGTTCCTCACCGCGTTAGTGATATGACGATCAAATGCCATTGATGGAGTACCCAATAGTCCCATGAGCATCGAATCCATTCCTAAATTAAGATTTACGTTGGAAATGCGCTGTACCTTGACTGGGAGCACAGAAACGAATGCTACACCTGACAAGCGTGACTCGTGTCTTTATTGCCCGCAAATTGGCCTTCATGGCATTTAGCTAGACCTTTGCATAGACGGATGCTGGACAAAGGACCGTTTAGGGGAAATACTCGTAGGCGCAGTTGGGCTTGGTGGGGGTACCAAATTGTACTTAACAAAGCTAGTTAAGACCACCTTGTGAAAACCTGTGCATTTATAACCGAAACTGCTTACTTGTACCACTTTGTGGCTTCATAAGAGTGTAGAGGTATCATCAAAGTGTGAACTGGAAATAGGAAGCAGCAAAATGCACCTCCCAGCCTGAACACCACCTATTCGTACTGCGAAGGAAATAAGGTACAAATAGCCGTCTGGATCGCATTTTTCAGGAAAAAGGCCAACGGTCAAGCTTCTCCGCTGCACGTCATTTTTTTCAGGACTGGTTCTGTGCCCAATTTTTACCATTCCAAGGAGTCAAGTTTACCAAGGAGAAGGGCACGGCGGCAGAACAAACCTCACCCATCAACGTGGAATATGTTTTAACTAGAGAACGGATAGTGGATAATTAGGAAGCAAAGCTACTTTGGTGCTACATTTCCTTATGTAAACTATAATTCGCGTTAATCATAAATCCTTCAAGCGATAGATTCACAGAGTCGTGCTGCTCAAACTCACCTCCTCCTTCCCGATCGTACAATGGACCAACATGTCCGAAGTGAGAAGCAAGATCGATTGGTTCGCTCATATTCCTGAAAGATAAACAGTAGAGAGCAGTTGGAGAATACAGCGGAAACAGAGGAAAACTGTAGGGATGGACGGAGGAAAATGAGGAAAAAGGCATACAAAAGAGCTGCAGGAAAAAGACACAGAAGAGCTATTCTCAAACCATAACCAAGTGCGTTGCGCGGCGCAGTACGGGCTCAAAGCAGCTAAC